TTAATTGATTTTACCCAGATTGATCAAAAAAATGTTCAAATATTGGATTATGTTGGACTACTTTATACGTATCTCTCCACTCCCAAAAGGATGCAGAAGTTTCAACGTTGTAGTATAAGTCTGTGCAAAGAGGCAAACAATCACAATCAGGCATCTGAAATTCAAGATTTAATGAACACGTTAATTACTTTTTATTGAAAATATACATTTTCAATAGAAAATTCCTCGGTGGAGCTGTAATTTCTTCTGTTGCGTGGGGTTAAACCCAAAGCGTGGCTCAAATGACCCATTTGTAACATTTCTTCGGCGTTTTCCATGCAAGCTTTATTGAAACTACCACATATGGGTGTGTCATTGGTTCCTGAAAAGTGATATTGTCTTGAAATAGAACAAGATATTGTCAACTCATAAACGTACACAAGCCCACGCATTACATAAATTAAGTAAATTTCCAAAGAAGGTCACCCCGGACTATTAAAAACAGACCGATTTTGCTTATGCCAGCAATAATTTCAATATAAATGCACGCACTGCGGCAATGCAAAGCAAGGTTGGTCTGAACGGCTTTATGCCTGATAAGGTACGAGCCTAAAGACCTGCCTTCTTAGCTGGGTACAACTAGGTATAGTCGAGACTGTGAAACTTTTGGATGAAGGTCTCGTCTATAGCGGCCGTGTCACAGCGTCCCCAAGTTTAGACCTACGAGAACTATGCCCTTAGGGGGCCCGTTCTTTTAGTGCATCTTGGGTTACATTAAACATTAAACATTCTTACATAATATTCGTGGTGGTATTCCTTCCCCCCATATCCTCTCTTTTCAGATAAACCCTTAGTGGACGCAGCCAAGCGAAGTAAAAGTGGTGGCACCGCTGACCACAACCAACTTAAGCGTGACAATATTATAGTCCAAGAGCCCAGAGCCGCCAGACACAACTTATTTTCTAAAGGACCTAATATGTGGGATTGAGTAGCACTTGTATGTACTATGAACGTATGAATACCCACTAAGTTGGGTAGACGGCCAATTTCTCCAAACCAGGTGCCAAAGGTGAAAAAAAATGAGACTCACTTAACCTAATTTCTAATGGTTAATTTTTATATCTATATATATATATATATATAAAAATCAAAGTTCACGGGGTATTCGGATGTGCGCTCCAAAACCACTTATCCGATTACGATGAAACTTTGGTAGGTTGTTATGGCCATGCCAAGGAAGGTTTGTGGATAGGTTACGCATCTCGGAAAAAATAAATTAATTTTGAATTAATTATTAATTTAATTGTAAACAAACTCATTCACATTACATAACAACATAACCCAACTTTTTTGACAGCATGAAACAACGTTGCCATATTTCATTTATTTAGGCTTGCATTCAACCGACGTAACTTTATTATTTTTGGAATTCAAGAACGGCTGGACCGATCTTGAATTAATACCACGTATCGCTATATAAGGTGAATTCGATTGACCCAGATTAGATCGATTTGGGTTCAATTTAAGTGAACTTCTTCTGATCTAGATCATTTTTTTGTTGATGAGGGTGCACTGATCCAGCTTGAATCGAACACAGTGTGGTTCACTTAAATTTAACCAGATCGATCTAATCCGGTCAATCGAATCGGCTAGTCACTGAACTCACTGGCAAGCGACTATGATATCGGATTAAAAAAAAAATATATTAAATAGAAAATCAACAATAAAATTTGAAAAGAAGTGTATTATTTCAAAATGTATTTACATGCTGGCAACGCAGCGGGTCATTAGCTAGTGTTTTATATAACACTAGTACAAACCAATATTTAACACTGCCAGACACCTCTCGTCGGCCAGAGCTTCCGCCAGACGCTTTAAAGCTTTTTTTATCCTTCAAGATTCAAGAATTCAAGAACAAATCCAATTCTTTTGTATGGCAATATTTTTATAAATATGAAGCTCAAAGTGGGTTTGCTTCATGTTACAAGTGCCGGAAAAAATACAAGACTATAGTGGCAATACATCTAATCTAGGGATCATTTGAAAAGATCTTTATACAGGGTGTTTCACCGGGAATCATATCGATCTATATGTGGAAAACTGTATGCAGAAAATTTTTGAATATTTAACAGTATACTAATGTCACCATCATTTGACACCAACTTTGAATTTTATCCATGATTAAAAATTCCAATTAAATTTAATCTCCAGTTAAATTCAAAGTTGGTGTCAAATGATATTTTATGAAAATCTAACAGCCGTATTCATGAACATTAATTAACTGGTTAATGGTTTGTTAAATATCTAACAGCTGGTTAACATGCATATTTGGTATTCATGACACTCTGTTAAGACTTAACATTTTGTTAAAGTTAACCGCCGGAGATCGCCCAGTTAAAGCGGCTTAACTGACAGTCAACGGAAATTTTCAATATTTGTGAGGTTAGTTTTTTCTGTTTATTTACGATTTTTCTAAACAAACGTATTCTATTTTCTATTCAAATTACAACATTTAAAATTGAAGTTGTTGGTGATTATTTTTTGAAAGAGAAAGATGGATAGGTTTCACCGTGTCCAAGATACCTCGTCGTCTTCTGATTCCTCGTCTGATGATGAAGTTCCAAATGCAAGAAGGCCAAAAATAGTGAGACCACGAAATGATCTATTCAATGAACTGGACGAAATTGAATTCAAGCGAAGATTCCGTATCAACAAAGATACGTTTTTATATATAGAGAATTTATTAGAAGATGTTCCAGAACCATACATTGAGAATTATCCCATTTCTAAACGGAATCAAATATTAATTTGCCTTAGATACTATGCAACTGGATCGTTTCAAATTAATATTGGGGATCATTTCAATGTTTCACAACCCAGTGTGTCAAGAATTGTACAAAATATTACAAATCACATTGCTGCTTTGAGAGCTCGATTCATCAGAATGCCACGAACAGAGGAAGAGAAGAGGCAAGCAGTTATGAAGTTTTTTAATATTCGTGGTCTTCCTGGAATAATAGGTAGGTATCTCTTTTTTTTATTATCTTGGATATTACCATTTATGTCCTTTTTGTAGGAGCTTTAGATTGTATACACATCAAGATCCAATCCCCAGGAGGAGAAAATGCTGAAGTGTTCAGAAACCGCAAACAATGGTTTAGTATAAACACGCAAGTAGTGGGCAATAGTGATCTTATGATAAATGACATTGTGGCTAGATGGCCTGGTAGTGTGCATGACTCAACAATATTTAATGACTCGATCATTCGAGCAAGGTTTGAAAATCAAGAATTTTTCCCATATTGTTTACTTGGGGATAGTGGATATGCATGCAAAACTTACTTATTAACACCATTAATAAATCCTCATAATCCGGCAGAACAACGCTACAATAGGGCTCAAATATCCATCAGAAATACCGTAGAACGTCTATTTGGTGTTTGGAAGCGACGATTTCCCTGTTTGTCATTGGGAATGCGATTAAAACTTCAAACTGTCTGTAATATAATAGTAGCCACTGCAGTGTTACACAACATTTGTATTCAAGAAGGTGATAACTTAGAGCAACTTGATGATATCCCTTATCTAGATGATATAATTGGAGTTGTTCATTATAATGGTGGCGGCCAAAACTTTGCAACAAGGGATACTTTGATACAAACTGTTTTCAATTGATTTGCTTAAATGATGAGATACCTATAGGCTGTCAGCAAGGGGCGGCTCACTCACCACAATCTGTACATCGATTTCGGAAATCGCAGGGGATTTCGACAATTTTTAAGGGATTTCGAAAGATTTCGGCTGTGCAAGAATTTTGACTTTCGACGCCATATACCACTAAGATTTCGAGGGATTCGATATAGGACAGGATAGGATTTCGCGATTTCGAAAATTCGGGATTTCCAAAGGATTTACGGGATTTCGGATGAAAATGTACAGCGATTCCGGAAGTGAGCCGCCCCTCGGCTGTCAACACTAATGAATATTTTGTTATTGGAAAAATTAAAAACTGGCAAATATGAAAGAACAAAAGTAATTTTTTTTCTCATTCACTGAATAGGTAAAATTAGAAAGGTTCTATAATTTTATAATTCTTAGTTTCAAATAGAATAATGTTTTCTGTAATAATAAGTATATGAATCAATTAGATTGCTTCGAGCATTTTTTGAAATATTTCCGAAAATTGAAGAAATTTGTTATTAGCTTAAATATTTTACTGTATTAACTGCAGCAAAAAATAAAAGGCATTTTGGACAATAAACATATTTTTATTTATATCTAATATTAAATTAAATGAGGATAACTACATAAATAAATAGGAACATAAAAGAGCTATGTATAATCCAAAAAACGAAAAAACTGAAAGAACCCTAAATATGTAGCATGTTAATGTTTGACCTAAAATACCCGAACAGGAAAAAAAACACACGGTGATCCACAAAATTGGCCGAAAAAACAACAATTTTTGTTTTTGAGGAACCTGTGTTATTTTTATAATTAAAGAAAATAATACCTCAGCTTTCTCAATGCTCTAATATAAGTGGAATTCAAAAACTTAAAACATAATATCCTATACATATTGCAAATAAATTAGTACAATCCGTAACAAGAACTAAGTACTCGGGCCTTTGACTTGGCACTCAGATAATGAAATAAACTGTTAGTTCGAATTATTGTTCTCTTAAAATTCTGTCATATTGTATTTTTTTTATTTCAAGATCCAAGAGCTCTTTTTCCTTAATTATTTGTTTTATTTCATTATCCATTTTTATACCTTTAAACGTTTCTTCTTCATTTTTTTGCACTAAATGCAAAACTTTTATTTTATTTTCATATACTTCAAATTTTTTGGCCGAAACACCTGAAGGCTTCGAGATGGTTTCTCCATAACAATTATGTTTTTTATTAGTACTTTTCACGTTCTTATTATTTTTTTTATTGACATTATCAGTTTTCACATTTTCTGGTTCCTGATTCTCTTTAAATTTCTTCACTGGCTGAAACTGTAACAAGCTCTGTGATTATTCTTCCTCAAAAACAATTTCTATAGTTTCGTCTGAAGTTTCATCACATGTAAAGCGATCATCACCATCATTATCCGTCAATTGACCTATATTTACTTTTAGGGACAATGGTCTCTTTAGGGATTCATCACAAGATTGGAAATTCCTAGATGTTGAAGGTGTTGCAAAAAATGTGTTTTCAGTTTCTGAGTTATTTTCCATAACAACGTTGGAATCCAGGACATTGTCCACACAGAAATATTTTTCTTGTAGAAGACTTAAAATCTTCACATCCTGTGGAGAAAGCATATTGTACTTTGTATTGTCCCCTCCACGAGTTTTTAGAATTTCTACCTGCAACAAGGGAATACTTGAATAAAAAACTACCTACACTGATTAATATTTGAACCAAAAATAGATTTATAGTTACATTATACTAACACGAGTACTAACAGTGAGAATAGAAATGACACAATATTTTTCTGAAATCATAAAGGGCCGCTTTATTCTCAATAGCGAGGCACCTCCGGGTTGGTTTTAACTCCAGGGTAAGCGTGTCCAGTTGCTATGTTTACCCTGGAGTTATGCTTAACCCAGGGGTGACTTGCTATAGAGAAACCTACCCAAAGAAATACTAACTAGAAATGGACTTAATTTTACCTTACCTTACTGTCAGCTTTATGCTGTTTTGCTAACTTTTTCATCTGCTCGTACAGTATACGTAATTGAGATCCTGTTCGTTGTCCACTTGTTTGTAGGGCAATTATACTCCCATGCCAGTTTCTCCCAGCATTCATGTTTTTGTTTATTATATATTGCATTAGTTTTTTTACATTCTAATACATTAATATATTTTTGTACCAACGATATCAATATATCTTTTTCGCGCTGTGTAAAATTTGAAGATCGTTTCTTCTCTTCCGTCATAGCTTTCATTCACTATTTTATTGCACAAAACTAATATACCTAATTTTAATTTTATAATATTGTGGGTGCCACAATGCCACAATATTATTAACAAAAACAAACTAAATAAAGAAAGTGAAATGAAAGTTAGGTTATGTTGTTCTAAAAATCATCTGCTGAAGTTAGGCAAAAATTGGTATTGCCAACCTTAATTTTGTTACTTTTCATTAAATAGACGGTTTGTTAACTGCTTGGTTAAAAACCTTGATGAATATCAATCACTACTAACTCTTTGTTAAAACTTAACAACCAATTAGTTAACTGGGCAGTTTGTGATTTTTCAATGAATACGGCCGTAAGATTGGAATGTAAAATCGTTTTTCCTCTAAAATTAACCGTTTAGGTTTTACACGTTTTACAGCCGTCAAAGTTGCAAAAAGTCAATTTTCGATTGTCAATATTTCCAAAACAGTTGAATTTAGGTATTAGACTATCCAAAACACGTGACAAAATATGGCCGACAAGAGGCACACAAACATTTGACACAAACACAAACCATAACGTCATTACGTTATGTCATTAATGATCATAATTAAATACTCATTTTCTATTGTGTGCGTCTCAATTTTTGGCCGCTTCTACCCAATTACGGAATCCCTATTGTTTGGGCAAGATTGCTCTACCTACATTTCACTTGGACACGCAGGACCCACCCTTAAAATGTGAAAAGATTTATTTGTTGCAACTCCCCCGTCAAGTGTTGTGCTTTGATTTGTATTGTTTTTTCACAAGTTTACTCTAGATTTGATTAGAGAACGATTTTGCTGAAGGTAAATGCTCTGCATTCATTTCATTGTGATAATATTGAAATTGTTAACCATGCACATCCGTTAGTCAAGTTAAAATCGAAAAAGAAAAAGCCTTGTATCACAAAAGGTTTGAGAATTGCTTCTAGAAAATTTAGGTGTCTTCATTCCTTAAGAAAGTTTGCGCTTGATATTGATAATATATTTTTTTACTGACGTTTCATAATAGCAACTTTTCGATTGTCATTTCAGTTTTGAAACGACATTCTTTTAGGCACTGAGTGCGTGAAAGTTACTTTTAGGCACTCAGTGCGTAAAAGTGACTTTTGAATGCGTAAAAGTGACTTATGAGTGCGTAAAAGTAATTTTTAAGCACTAGTGCCTAAAAGTGTCATTCATTATTCAGAAATAAAAAACACACTAAACACATATTTGAATTTTGTTTTGTATTTATTATGAATATTGAAAATGGAATTACTGAATTGAACGTTTGGGTTACTCAAAACAGAACTTTGTGTTATTACCTACTTTCTAGGATTTTAATTATTGATGTCGAATTTTCAAAAGAAAATCGCATGAAAAGTGTCAGGTGGCAAGTAAAAGCAGGTAACAAAGATTTTGGGTGTAATCGACTTATTCACATGAAATAAAATTGTATTTTTTTATTATAAAATGCCAGTAGAAAAAATCTTGTATACAATACGTTACGAAACGATGTCTTTTAGTCACTCGACGTGTTGTCCAACTCGGCTTTGCCTCGTTGGACAATTTTCACATCGCGTGCCTAAAAGACGCTCATTTCGTAACTTATTGTATAAATAGCTATTTTATGACCTACTTCAAATAATGGATACAGGAGCATCTACAGAAAGACGATGAAACAGGCAAGGAAGATCGGCATCCAATAAACAAAAAGAGTAACAACCTACGCGAAAAAAAAATTAAGAAATATACATATGTGCTTCCAATTTGAAAGCAGATAATATTAATTCATACTACTGTACGATTGCTCAGAAACTGAGTATAAAAAAAAAATCCTCTGGATGGGACGATATCTCAGTTCAGTTAGGATATCTTGAATCTTCCTGACTATACTGTTGATGTGTTGGCGGGCTACTTAAATACACTATTTCTAACATTAATAAAAATACGAGTAAAAACAACAAACGCAAATGAACAATGAGCACTATTTTTTTAAAAAAATTTGATGACACATTAAATGACACATAAACAAAGGGTTTGTGTGCCTCTTGGCGGACATTTTATTTTAAGTTTGACAGCATCTTGGATAGTCTAATAGGGTATTATCCGTGCACAATCCGATGTCCACAGGTAGGTACAGATAAAATCACCTTTCAATGCTATTTGATAGGGAAAGGTGATAAATTTACCTGCACCTGTGGACATCGGATTGTGAACAGGATATATATCACATGAAATCTGCTCAGAGTTTTACGTAGAATCCAAATATGCAATCACATACAGGGTGTCTCATTTAAAATAAGCAAGTTGAAGTCTACTTCTGGTACAACCGGAAGTGCCACCATCTTGAAAATATTTTAGCCGGGTTGCCCCCATTGACACTAGTATATTAGTATTTTCTGCAAACAGTTTTTCACATATAGATCGATGGTGCTGAAATTCGCCGTGAATGACCCGAATATCAACAAGACATTTTTGAGAATATGAAGAAAGAAAACCTCGACTTTAAGAAATGGACTGAACGAGGTTACATCATGCATAATGGTGTACTGTTTAGGTACATACCTGAGTTGGACGAAGTGTGGCCCGATGTGGCTCCTATCGATAGTTTCGATAGCGCGAAGTAGCACTATCAAAAGTATCGATAGTCGAATTTTTGCACTATTGCACACCTCTAGCCCTAGCCTGGAGTAGACTGTAAGCTTAAGAGGGGAAAATCACTTGACATGCAGAAATCTCGCTCACTCTCAAACGCATGCATAGTACCTACCCTCGCGCTCACACTCACAAAATAGTATATTGTTGTATTAGGCTTGCAATACTGCTGAAGCACAAAAAAGTGCTTCTACTCCGTATGCAACACGCTGTTTTTTCTCTAAACGAATGGGGAAAGCTCGGGGGTAAATGAATAATTAAGCGGCAGTAAAAGTACGAGCGGCACTAAAAGTACTTTTATTTTCAACCACATATGTAATGTTGACATTGCAGGTTTTTCAAAATCTTGAAAGTGTCACATTTCTGGACTTTGACATTTATCGGGACGGTAATGCATATGCCTGCCTAGGACGGAAAAGCATTTTCCGTCCGGGACGGCAAATGCTTTTCCGTCCCCATTTCCCTGCTCGTTCCAAATTGATAATTTTCATACAGCTCTCACATATAATAATAAAACCACATGTATTACATGGAACTAATTAAATCTATTCACTTATTTACATTAATTGTTAAATTAGCATTGTTGTTTATAATGGAAATCTTGAGACCATCCTGTTGGAATTGTGTTTCGTTTGGAACTATTATCTCTTGCGCTTGCGGATGAGTTTCCGCATGTGATGTACTTGTGGATGCACTGGACAACTGAATACCTTTGGAAGTAGAGGATAGCATCAGAGCAGTCTTACTTTTGTTCTCCAAAGATGCCTCTATGTAGCCTTCAGCAACCGTGCTCGATTTCCACCCTCCCAGTCTTTTGAGTTGCAATAGATCGGCCCCGTTGTCAACCAATAAGGTTGCGGAAGTACGACGAAAAGCATGCCCTGTAAAAGTTTCAATTTTTGGAAGCTTCAAAAAAGCAGCTATTTTATGTGGAAATTTTGAGATTGAATGATAGCCAATTGCTTGGTTATGTAATTTCCCATTTCGCCATTGAACAAATAACCTGTCATTTTTCAAATTTTTCCGCAAAGTGAGGTATTTGTGGAAAATAGCAACCCAATCTGGATCGCTTATGATAAACGATCGACTTGTGTAAGTTTTTGTGTGTGGAATTTCTATAGCGATCTTTCCTTCCAAAACGTTGACGTGCTCCATTTTCATCTTGACTAGTTCATCGCTCCTACATGCACCCGACACACCAACAATTAGCGCTACCTGAAACCAGATAAAAATAAAATGGGTAACCTAGCTATAGCATACAGAAAATCATTTTGATTTTCGCATTTTTATCTTCTTTGTATATTTTTTGAAAACCTACCTTGATGCTAATGAATTCTTCAGCTGCCTTCGTGAGGAACTCGTTAATGTTTTCTCTGGAAAAAACGCTCGACTTTTTCGGCTGAAAGCCCAGATTTTGCCGCTTCAAAAAAGCTATAAGTTTTGCGTAATTGGAGATATCAACTTTCTCTTTCAATTTAATCATGGTTTTCAACATACTGTAAGTCGACCATAAAGTCGAAGGCTTCTTTTCCTTAGATAATTCGCCAAAATACGCCAACAAAACGGTCTCCGAGGCAGTATTTCTCGTTCCTTTCTGGCTACACCATGCTTCGAATATTTGAAAAGCCTTTTCGTACCGAAATTTGCTTTTTGCTGGAAGCAAACTCTCTCCAATCCTGTCTGCTGCTTCTTTTAATTCAGGTGGGGTACAATCCATCGCTTCATCTTCACTTTCCGAAATCATTTCTTTGGGGAGAACGGGGAGAAATCTAGTGAAAATCTATTATTTCCGCAAAAATACTGAGCGAAAACTACCGTCGTTAAGGCGTTGTTGATCTTATCTATGGTTGTTGATTTTGCGGTTTCCTGTGGTTTCGTCTTTTGTTTTGGCCTTTACAGGGCCTTTGAGATCGTCAAAATTGATGACATTGACAAAAAAAGTGAAATATTTTTTTCTAAGGCCAGTTTTACACTATATGAAAATTTCGTATAACAGAATCTTTAGTTTTTGCATCAGAAAATTAAGGGTTGAAAATAAAAAAGTATACAAACCTCGACGGAAAACTTCATTTCTGTCTCGAGGTTGAGTTTATCTCGACGCTTCGCGTCTCGATAAACTATAATAACCTCTCGACCAGCAATGAAGTATTTTCCGTCTCGGATTGTAATATACTATTGCTGCCGCTTCAACGGCACTAAAAGTACTTTTAATGCCGCTGCGGTTGCCTAGCAGCATAGAAATTAAATTTCTACCACCTCGACAGGTGTTAACTCTCTGAATTTGCCTAGCAGCATAAAAATTAAATTTCCAACATCTTGACAGATGTTAACAAAGTGACTTTTTTTGACGTTTGGAGAAAAAAATTAATATTGCGTCTGGGGGGATGTTTGGCCGGTGCGATTGGTCTGGCTGATCACACGTAATTATGAAACAGGTTTCCCAATAACATATATAAAAATCAAGCGTTAGAAAAAAAGTTAAATTGATTTTTTTTTTTGCGAGCTTTAAAGCGTCTGGCGGAATCTCTAGCCGACGGGAGGTGTCTGGCAGTGTTAAATATTGGTTTGTACTAGTGTTATATTGTTATATAAAACATATATAAAAATTAACCATTAGACATTAAGTTAAGTTAGCCTTATTTTTTCTCACCTTTCGCACCTGGTGTCGATAAATTGGCCGTCTACCCAACTTAGCGGGTATTCATACGTTCATAGTACATATAAGTGCTACTCAATCCCACATATTTTGTCCTTTAGAAAATAAGTTGTGTCTGGCAGCTCTGGGCTCTTGGACTATTAGAGCCGCGTTCGTTTTAGATATCAGAAAATGATATCATTCATTTCAAATTATTAATGAAATTAGTGTGCCTACTTGCCGTTTTGTATCATCAAGGAAAAACAAAATGTAGCAATACTGTTTACATTTTGATTTATGATTCAAATAAATTTGGTTAGTTCTTGTAAGCCCGTATCTACGATGGGCAACTTCAAAAATGAATTGTTGATTATGCTTTCATATTCCATAAATAAATAAAAAAACTAAATTGGTATATTTTTGAGCATCTTAGTAAATCATCATCAAAGTAAATCTCATCTTTTTCATGTGCATATATTTAAATGTTGTACTTTCATGTCCTGCTCTATTGTAGAGGATTGAATGAACAACGTGGCAAAAATAACTAGTTCCGATAAGTTGAATAAAATTCTAAAACTTCTCAATTTTGATTCAAACGCCACTTGCCACTACTTAACTTGGATCGCGTACATCTATTGAGGGCAGAATTAGAAAAGTATAATTGTGCACTCCATATTATAATAGCTATTAATAACAAGTACATAAAGTAGGGCTTTATTGTACGAATAATTTTATGGCCGGGCGAGCTTGCGAGCAAGGCTATTAAATAATGAGTTAATAAAGCCTGTTTATGTAAGCGTTATACAGGGTGTCCCACGGTGGATGGCGTATTAGACGTTTATGGAGAACTAAAAAGCGGATCATTTTGAAAATTTCGCAACCGGGATAAAGAACCATGATCTGCACTTTAGAAATATTTTTGTTTATGCGGTGTTGCCGCTTCTACTCTAAACTAGTGACAACAGCGCTATTTCAAATGGAACACCCTTATGTGATTACATATTTTGATTCTACGTAAAATTCTTAGCAGATTTCATGTGATATACCCTATACCTAAGTTCAACTGTTTTGGAATTATTGACAGTTGAAAATTGACTTTTTGCAACTTTGAGAGGCTGTAAAACCTGAACGGTTAATTTTAGAGAAAAACCGATTTCACATTCCTATTTTAGATTTTCATAAACTATCATTTGACACGAACTTTGAATTTAACTGGGGATTAAATTTAGTTGGAATTTTTAATCATGGATTAAATTTGAAGTTGATATCAAATGATAGTTTATAAAAATCTAAGATGGGAATGTAAAATCGGTTTTTCTCTAAAATTAAACGTTCACGTTTTATAGCCTGTTAAAATTGCAAAAATTCAATTTTCAACTGTCAATATTTCCAAAATAGTTGAACTTAGGTATAGGGTATATCACATGAAATCTGCTCAGAATTTTACGTAGAATCCAAATATGTAATCACATATAGGGTGTTCCATTTAAAATAGCGCTGTTGCCATTGGTTTAGAGTAGAAGCGGCAACTCCGCATAAACAAAAATATTTTTAAAGTGTAGATTATGGTCGTTTATCCCGGTTGCCAAATTTTCAAAATGATCCGCTTTTTAGTTCTCCATAAACGTCTAATACGCCATCCACTGTGGGACACCCTGTATACATAATTTTATGTACGATTGCGACTGATTTTTATTAAGGCCGTTTTACAGCTTGCAAGAAAACTTGAATGCAATTTGTTGCATGCAAAAAAATTGCATTCAAGATTTCTTGCTCATCGTTTTACACCTTGCAATTTGACTTGTTTCCTTCTATAACCTTAACCATACTTTTTTGTTTTTTATGTTGTGTTGTTGATGTTTGCATTTTCCAAAATGAAAAAAGTGATTATAAGTCGATATGAAAAAAAGAAAACAATAGCAGCCACATTAGGCATAATATTTGCTAAAAATTCCCCAACTTGCGGGAAAACCTTCAAGAAAAATGGCACAAAACCGATTGCATGCAATGCCATTCAAGTTTCAAGAATCTTGCAGAAAACAATCAGCTGACTCACTTCTGCGCATGCCCTCGTTCAACTTTCTTGCATATTGCAGATAGAATTGCAAGCTGTAAAACGGCCTTGAAAAATTTTAAAAATTGAATGAAAAAATTAAAATTCGAGTATACCTGTTTCACCTTGGTAGGTTGTCAGGTAGTCCAGGTAGGCAATAAATTAGCACTTTATTTTACAGTAAAATAAAGTGCTTCTTTATTGACGCAAAACTGTTCGGACATAATAGATATTTATTTTACTAAAAGTATAAGTAATACTTATGTGAGGCGCATGGAAGTTTGAACGAATCAAATCCATGCAAGTCACATGAAGAATACTTATACTCCGAATGAAATACAATATTTTATTTTCAAACAATCTTTATTCCGAATAGTGCAGAATTTTTGATTTAAATAATGACATTCATATTTAGAAGGATCACCTTTATAAGCACCTATACCTGTATGTACAGGTAAACTACCTTAAATCGCTATGGAAAAACATGTGTAACGGCGTATAAGTGTTATACTACGGCGGAGTATAACACTTATACGCCGTTCAAGCTGAAAGTCATTGAAGTGACACTTATACCTTGTCAAAATGATCACAAAAATTACTGTTATTTGACGTTTGAAAATAATAGATATTTATTTTATTAGGAGTATAAGTGATACTTATGTGACGCGCATGGAAGTTTGAACGCCGAGTGCAGCGAGGCGAATCAAATCCATGCAAGTCACATGAAGAATACTTATACTCCGAATGAAATACAATATTTTATTTTCAAACAATCTTTATTCCGAATAGTGCACAATTCTTAATTCAAATTATGACATTCTTATTTAGAAGGATCACCTTTATAAGCACCTATACCTGTATGTACAGGTGAACTACCTTAAATCGCTATGGAAAAACATGTGTAACGGCGTATAGGTGTTATACTCCGGCGGCGTATAACACTTATACGCCGCTCAAGCTGAAAAAATTACTTTTATATGACGTTTGAAAATAAAAGCATTTATATGATTTCTATGAAAAACTATTAGAGTTATTTTCCTGTTTGAATTTGGAAAAATTGTTTGTTCAATATATAATGTTTTACTTTGGGCACTTAGGGTTAACTTTTTTCTTAGTATCTAGTTTCACTCCAATACGAACCTGAAGGAACGCAGATCTGAGTTCTAAAACTTACTTGGCATATAAAATCCAACGCACTCACACCAGTAAAACGTAAAATTGGTTAAACATTCCAATTGACAATTCCCCTGAGTGTATGTCTTGAAAAACCTTAAAACTTTTTCACTTTCAAAATAACACTCTCTGATCTCAGATCTGAAATTTTTTACAGTTTCTGAGGTTGTTATCATGACAGGTTGCACTGCTGCCACGACAACTTCACGCAAAGGCAATCTAATGTATTGTTGAGTGGGCCTGGGTACTCTTGTAGGTGTATGTAAAATTACTTTGAATCCTTGCATTTTACACGTTGGATCCGCGTTAACCCTGAAGTCATAAAGCATTATTGTCAGGGAATTTTTCGCGCCTGAGAATAAGGCTCTACGTGGATAAGTATTTATGTTTTGGTCATTTTCATACCCTCTGCCCATACTCCATGTAACATTTGTTGGAGGTGCTTTAGAGGGAAATGGTATTTCTGGTAGAAAGACGTCGTTCATGTAAATTTTTGACTGGTCCATCATGTTGAATGTTGCACAAAGGCCTTCATCGGTGAGGATTAAACTGAACATATCTTTGCAATCTTGGATTCTATTCATCCATTTGCACAAAGAAAAATGGTTCATGAGGTTTGGCGCAACGTGAAACATAAAATCATAAAACCTATTGTCAGTATAATAATAATTATTGAAATAGTCAAATTCTGAATCGTTCCCATATTTGAACAATTCTTCCGTTATATTAACATCACAAAGTAGATTCATGTATGATGTTGATTCATATTCTTGTTTGGTTAAGCGTTCTTTGTTCTTCAATTTCACCACCATATTAGAATGATTGTACTTTGTTTTGAAAGATTTAATTTCTGGACAAATAGTCACGGCTGGAAACGGTATTTCGTGAATAGGAGTCTCGCGGGTAGCAAAACTCACAATTACAGGACTGTTTTCCCATTTTTGATAGACCATCGTTATGAAATAGCCACAGAAGTACAAGCAGACTGAGAATACTATTAACCACCAACCTCTAAAACAAAACAATAATTGGAAAGGGCATTTTGACTTTTAATCAGCAAACTCTACAAGAAAAATTTTATTGTCAGGATGCTTTGACTTTTTCTGGAATTCAAAAATAAGAGAGTTAGCTACTCTTCTGTTCAGCATCCAGATACTATAACGATATTTCTCTAAAGTTGAATTATAAAAATTTGAAACTAAAGTATTTTTGTTTGAAACTCGTACCTACACTATAGAGCCTCCAAAATTTCACAACATATTTATTAATAATACAAATCATGATATGGCGTTACTCACCTCTCAAAATAAGTTCGCTTTTCTGCCATATACCTTATACCATGTATACTGCTGGCTTGACAGTATTCTCTAAAATATTGCTTTACATTTTTCAAAGCCATATTGACGTTTCAAAAGACAGAGCAATAATGTATCTGATAGTTCGTAGGAATCGATAAATGGGTGCAAAATTTTATATTCCATGCCAAAGTAGATGTTCTATTTACTAAATGTACCCTTAGGAATTTGGGAGCGTGCACGCTTCACATTTATGAGACGAATAAATTGAAAACTGGAATATTGATTGGGTGTATGTGCATAACAAAGTTGAAGAAAAATCAGACAGTAAAAAATTTTCATGCTTCAAAAAATATATTTTATTCAGATAATAAAACGAAAATATTGTTCACAGCAGTGAATGGTTAATGTTACCTATATAAATCTATAAATGTAACAAAATCGCAGCCAAAAAGATATTATACGAAGATATATTAGGCTAGAAGTTTGAAGGCAAAATAAAAAAAGGTGGCCACTGTAGCAGGACCTCTCCTACAACATTTTGCTGGTTATATAGCATGTTTTTTTGATAGTTATACACCAGATGTCGGAAAATCAAAGGAAGTTTCAAAACTTTGTTGTGAAACACGTCCCGACTACACTTAAAAACATGTTAGGTATTCAAACATTTCTCTGAGTGATTTTGGTTTGATCTGTTCAAGTGGAGTTAATTTTACGCGATAGATTGGTCGAAAAAACTGAGTCATTTAATTCAGCTATTTCGTGAGCAACGAGTATTATGGGATCCTACATTTTTTGCTATGTAGTCTGGATGCTTCTACTATATTATAACAAGTTACAAAAAAAAAAAAACATATGTTGGACAACTTTGTTATTAACATATGTTGTATCATAGTCTAGATAATAAATTCGAGAATGAAATGCAAGAAGTACGAGAAGAAGTTAGGAGTGCCCGTCAGGAAGTTGAGACTGTTCATCAGAAAGTTGAATCTGCTCGTCAGGAAATTGTAACCATTCACCAAGAAATGGTTGGTTTTGAGAACAAATTTGAAAAGTCTGCATCAAGTAACTTCAAATCAGGAAATGTGGCAGCTTCGCCTGCAACCGGTATCAAAGATAATACACCACCCTATAAACGTCAGACATCATGTGCAATGCACGGAAGTTAGTTCGAAACTGTTGCAACACCGTGACGACAGGATTATCAGGTAGATGATCACATAACAGGCAGTGATTCCCTCGAATATACAGTCTCTCTGTAGACAGAACTCATCCAAATCTTGAAAAAAATGCGGTTTCCTATTTAGTAAGTGGGCAAGGAGAGGAGCCATCAAGTTGGCCTTGTCGACCTTCCATCTATACCTCCTCTGACAAAGAACAAATGGTAGGTCTAAAAAATTCCGATGTATGTTTCGAATCATGTGTACCCTATTAAGTCAAGTTAGACAAGCAGAAATTTCTATCCTCTCGATTTTATTTGTTCTTGGACTTTGTTTTCCAATATATCACCTCCAACAGCTTTGAACAGCCAACCTCCCCTGTGGGACGGTATCCCTACTGAATCAACAAACGATTTCGAAAAGCCAATATTAAATAAAAAAAAAAGCAATATTTGAAGACTTTGAAGTGAACAATGTTTTTTTAAGCTGGATTTTTACAGGAAATAAAATAAAATAAAATAAGAACATAGGAATAAATGAGAAAAATAAAAAATAAGGCGTTAATACAGAAAAATATAAGATAAAATTAGGATTATTTTGAACCAATCACTACACGCCTGAGCATTTTCAAATAAAATAAAATAAAAAGTTAACCAACTTTTTATTTCCTGTATAAACCCAGCTTTATATTCGACGCTAGTGACAAAAATCGTATTTTGTTTCGAATTTCAAAGCCAACTTAATATTTCCCAAGTTTATTGTTTATTAAGGTGCTTCTTTCGTATATATGTAGTTTCATAGACCCTGAGATAGGGCCTGTTTAGTGGAGTAATTTTTTTTTGTCTGGCATTTTGAGGGCTGAATGTGGCTAGTTAGATGATGAGAATATAAGTGGTTTTGATACCTGCCCCCTGTTCGAAATGTCCACAGAAAGTTTCGCCGGAAAACTCGATTTGGAACTGTGATTACCGTCTGGCGATTTTTCAGCGTTATTTTCACAACAAAACCTTCTATTCTCTCCAGTGGCGGCTCGTTAAAGGAGGCAGTGCTTCCCCTGTGAAAATGCTACAAAATGTATTTTTATATAATTTTAAAAGATTTTTCAAGTGTTATTTTTTTGAAGGCTTGAAATAATCGACTTTGGGCGTGGCATTCGAAAAATTTTCCTGCCTCTGGCGGGTTTCACCACCCCCCCCCCCCTCATTTTTTTTTGGTCGGGCTGCCTCCCTTAAAATAAAAGTCACGGGCCGCCACTGATTCTCTCGATTACCAGACAAAAAGTAAACGCGGAAAGTTGTTTTCTTTTCTCTTGCAAGTTGACACCCATCCCCACTTTTTCAGCTTTTGAAAAGCATCTGGTATGTTTTATGGGTGAATTATTTATCAATGTCAATCTTTGAAAATGACTCCACTAAACAGGACCGTGAAGTTGGCCCCTAAAGTGTTAAATTTTTTTTGGAAAAATATGTTGTTTGTTAGTGCTTCGTTAATGCTTCTTAGTGCTTCAATTGTTTTCGTTAGTGCTTTTTTCGTTTTCTGTATATCGATTTTTTTGTAGTTTCAAGGTCAGCCCTGACAATCTGTCAAAATGAACGAAATTTAATACTATGTTTTAGTGCTTCGTTAGTGCTTCTTAGTGCTTCAAATAGTTTCGAAAGTGCTTTTCTTATTTCTTAGATATTTTAGATTTTCACTTCAAGGTCAGCCCCCAAAAATTTTCCGAATTACCCAATTTTGTTTTCAGTTTTTAGTGCTTCGTTAGTGCTTCTCAGTGCTTCAAACAGTTGCATTCGAGAATATTTCCTTTTTGAGATATTTAACTTTAAATTTTCAAGGGCAGCCCTCAAATTATATGGGATTGAGTTAAATCTAGAGTCGTTTTTTTGCGCATCGTTAGTGCTTTTCAGTGCTTCAGATAGTTTTCTTAATGCTCTTTCCGTATTCTGATTTTATTTTAAAATTACCACCCAAACTTGTTCCAAAATGTACAAAAAACACAGGGACGCCACCTCGGGACGCCACTGGAGCCAACATTGGTTTATAGTATGGAGGAAATCTAAGGTGCCGGTGCGCTCTCTATCTCTCTCTTTTATGGTTATTTAGTTGTTTTGGAAAGGTCTATTTTAATTGGTCACTGTTTTAGCTGGCGCTATTTCGTTCGTTCAGACGCAGTTTTGACTGGCGCTTTTTTAGCACCGGAGCATCTCACTCCGGGGTAACTCGCCTTTGTTTTAAACAGAATGGCTCTGTCATTAAATAGCGCCCAACGAGGAACCGCACTTTACAAGTTGGAAAATGGCATATTTTTAACTATCAGTAAGTCAGTATCAGTAAATTTGATACCTGTGTCATATTCGATATATAATACGACTCCTGGGCTGGGATCACGACGAGTAGAATTCTACTTTCATGACGTCATTCGCGACCTATTTATCGCGTACAGTACAGGCGATGATGATAGTTGCTAGGCAACCTGACGTCATGAAAGTAGAATTCTACTTGTCGTGATCCCAGCCCTGGGTTATATTCTGGCACAGCTTTTGACTGCAGACAACATAACTGGGGAGCTCCGAAAGAGAAATGGAGCTACTTATGGCAATTTACGCCGAAAACTCACGCACTGGAGGTCGTAGCTTAGAATAATTCAAATTTATGATAAAAAAATATTGTTTAATATTGATCAATATAATAGGCAAAGAGGAAGATGAAAACGAGATCTAAATAAAGAGTTGTTTTGGAATGTTAATTATTAATGTAGTAAAACCGTGAATAAAACCAAGTATGCATGAAGCCAAAGCCCGCGGAATCATAACCTGTAGTGCAAAAGGCCTACGTCCATCCGAGAAAGGACATGCCTACGTCACAACTGGTGATTTGGTGTATCATCCTTGCTATGAACCGATGTTGGCTTCAGTGGCGTTCCTGTGTTTTTTGTACATTTGGAATAAGTTTGGGTGCTAATTTTAAAATAAAAAATACTAAATAATCGGAAAGAGCATTAAGAAAGCTATATAAAGCACTAACGATGCGCAAAAAAACGACTCTAGATTTAACTCAATCCCATATAATTTGAGGGCTGACCTTGAAAATTTAAAGTTAAATATCTCAAACAGGAAATATTCTCGAATGCAACTGTTTGAAGCACTGAGAAGCACTAACGAAGCACTAAAAACTGTCACCAAAATTGGGTAGTTCGGAAAATTTTTGGGGGCTGACCTTGAAGTGAAAATCTAAAATATCTAAGAAATAAGAAAAGCACTTTCGAAACTATTTGAAGCACTAAGAAGCACTAACGAAGCACTAAAACATAGTAACAAGTTTCGTTCATTTTGACAGATTGTCAGGGCTGACCTTGAAACTACAAAAAAATCGATATACAGAAAACGAAAAAAGCACTAACGAAAACAATTGAAGCACTAAAAAGCACTAACGAAGCACTAACAAACAACATATTTTTCCAAATAAAATTTAACACTTTAGGGGCCAACTTCACGGACCTCCACTAAACAGTCCCTATCTCACAGTCTATTACAAAATGCAAGGTGATGCAGTTATGATATCCCCCCTTTCAATTTTTTTTGTTTTTCACATTAGACAAAAATGTTAAATACAAAAGTTTTATTTGCAGGATATATTAATACGTATAAAAAGTGCTTTATATATGTTACTGTAAATGCCCGAAATTCGGTAAAACCTAGGATAAGCGCGCTAAACCTAGGATTTACCAAAAACAAGTAGTAAAAGCCCGAAAACTAGTTATTTTGCTTTCATTTCGGACTTTTACCGGACACAAACAGTAAATCTTGGGATTTACCACACCGCATTGGTAAAAGTACGAATACCACTGATACGTTACAAAAAATCGATATCGTGAAACGATAATCGGTGAGAAAATTTCTTGAGTCCTGGAGATGTTCTATTTCAGGCAATTAGCGTAAGAAGTG